GTTTTCTTGTTAAAAATAAATAAATAAATATAAAAGAAAAAGTATGTCATACTTTTTAATATAACATGACATTTCCTTACATATTTTAGATTCCGATGAAATCTAAAAATTCATTACGAATATTATTTTCGTCAATATAAATAACACATAATATTATTTGTAGGTTGTTAGAAACATCTGTCGTGCTAAATTGGTGTACGGTTTGAACTAATATTATCTACCAAATATTTTAGAATTAATTTATTGCAATCTGGTGTTATTATGTTTTGATTTCAATAGGTGAAAAAAATATAAGTTTCTAAATTAAATTTAAAAGCACTAGAATTGACTCTCTAAAATTTCCTTGAATTTCTGTACAACAGTTTTCATTTTAATGAATAAATCCTGAATCTCTATTACTTAAAAATAACATTCCTTTACTTCTGTATAAATGATTTCTATAATTTATATTTTTAGAGGTTCTTTTATTTAAATTCCAATTATTTCAATTTTTTCATTTTAAATAACATAAAATTTATTAAATTTAATCTGACAAAGTTTGTGTTAATGGTCGTTTTGGTGGTCTTTAAACAATCACAATTTTTAAAACTAATTTCTCCAGATTCTTATGAATACCATTTCTTAATCTGTCAAATGATAAGAACCAAATACACGTAAATCAAATAGCACCGTTTAGTATTTTTGAATTATGAAACCTATTGAACTTACACAATCACTCTATTTAAAATTGTATGATCCTATTTACAATTTTAAGAAATTTATAATTTAGATCGGGTACCCATATATTTTTAAAATATCTATTTTTTCTTTAACTGTCAGCTGAGCATTAAAATTATTTCGATATTTTAGTATTTAATATATTATTATATAATAAAACATTGAACAATTGGCCAATGCTGGATATTAACAAAGTCCAATTTTCAAAAATTTGTTTTATAATTAAAAAGCTTGATGATGACGTTATCTAGGAAAAGTATTCGCAAAAATGAGAAAATTTGTTTTCACATTTTGAGTATTTAAAAATTTTACCGAAAATGCTCATTTCCGCCAGCATTTTTTGATTTACAATCTAAAATTGTTACTAAAATTATTCAGAGACATCTCTAAAAATTTCGTTTAAATCTATTGGTTTTTAATCATTTTTTCTTTTTAAATACACGCGCATAGTCTTTAGTAAGGTATAATATTAGTTCACGCATGTCGATTTTATTTACATTTTATGTAGTTTTTACTAATAACACAGCATTCAAAGATTTCATTTAATAATTTTTAAGTTTATTTTTATTTACCTGTTGTTGGTTATTAAGAATTATAATTTTGAGTACACCTAAGAATTTTATGGCCATATTAATACTTTATTAATTATTATTTAATCTTCAAGTGGAATTATTTCTCTGATAAACTGTTCTAGAGTAATATAATTTTTGCAGAACACATATCGTGCCTGGTGTAGCCCCAGGTACTCATACCGAAATCGGTGGTCTACCTGCGAGAACAGCTCAGATCTGGGGTGAAGCCCCAGTTAGAAAAAGCCTAGTTATAATATTTTTTTTTTTTGTGCAAATATCTTAGAGTAATGAAATAAAAATAAAAATTTGTATGACAAATGTAGATTAATAATAATAATAATTCGCATCAAAAATTAATAAAGATATTTATAAATAATAATTATTATTTCCTATTTTACCATAAGACATAAATATTAATTCTTCAAAAGTAATAATTAAATTATTTTTATTGTCTAATATCATATTAAAATTGGGTTTGGATTACGCCAATGGTAAGGCAATTTCAATATTCTCAATGGCATATTGTGAGACTATATTTTTAGCTTATGAAGATATCAAGCCAAAGTATTTAAAAATGTTAATTTTTGATTCTTTGTTCATTTTAATTAAACAAAAAACAGTAGCACAGTGGGGTCGAGGCACAGTGTAGACAAGGCATAGATGGGACAAGTATAGACGATATCTGACAGTGATTAAAATCACTATCATAAGAAACGCTTCGATGCAAATCTGTAGATAGTGTTTCATTTAGAGAAATTGGTGAATTATTCCAAAAGCAACATCAACTCTTATTTCTTTGATTATATCCTAATTAGTAGTTCTTTGATTTTAAAATATAATATATGAATAAATACTAATTATAATTATTAAATTTAGTATGAAATTGATATTCAATAATTTAATATTGTAATTTAAACGGAGAAATTATAAAAATAATAAAGAAGTTGTATTTTTCTTTATTTTTACATGTAATTTAAAGGGCTTGATACAATAAATTTCAATAAAAACTGTTTGTTACTTTAAATAAATGCACTGAACTACAAGGAACTTTCATCAGTAACAAAAATATACCATTCTAAATCAACTTCTAAGTTTTAATATTATCAAAAATTAGTATTTACATATAAAAAATTCGCATCGAAGTTAAACAATTGGCTATTTAAGCTAACTCAAATTTAAAAATTTTTTCGACTTGAAAAAAATAAAAAAATTTAATAAGTTTAATTTCTTATATCTTATGAACTTTATTCTATGTCAATTAAATTATATAATATTAATGAAATCAATATATTCTCCTAATAACATATTTTAAAATAAAATAAAATACAAAACCTAGAATTTTAATAGAAAAATAACATATTTTTGAATACGGTAGCCATTTGCGCATAGAAGATAGGTCGTCGGGACAAATTTTTTTTTTTTATTTTGTAGTACATAAAATAAGCTTTAATTTGATATATGTTTAAATGACGCAATATTTCCGAAACATTTTCAGAAATTAAGTTGAAAAAGTTAGTTTTTGTAAAAAAGTTGCTATTTTAAATCCCCTTTGTGAGCAGAATAAGTGTTAGATTTTCAAATAAAATGATATCAAACCAAAGAAAATTACCTAAGGTTTCAATATAAAAAAATATAATTTTGATTTGTTAATATTTGAAAAAGTTATGGCAGTTTTAAGTACAAAAAACATCCCGATAAAAGGTGATTTTTATAACAAACATTACATTTTTTTTTTAATTTCGACAGCTATTTGCTCATAGAAGATTGTGTCGGGGCAAATTTTTTTTTTTCATTATATGGTATATAACATAACCTTTGATTTGATATATGTTTAAAGGACGTAGTATTTTCGGAACATTTTCAAAAGTTCAGTTGAAAAAGTTCTATGTTTTATACAATGTTTCAAATTTTGAACGACCCCTATATAAGGGGAAATTGTCCAATTTTAATAAAAAGTATGTCAAATGAAATATGTACTTATAATGTATTTAGAAAAAAAAATTTGTGCTGATACATACATTTTTCGAAAAGTTATAGCATTTTTAAGTTGAAAATTTAAAATTGAAAATTTTAACAAAAAAATAGCGTTTTTTTAACTATGGCAGCCATTTGCATGCAGAAGATAAAGTGTCGGCACAAATTTTTTTTTTCATTTTATAGTACATAAAATAAGCTTTAATTTGATATATGTTTAAAGGACGCAGTATTACTGGAACATTTTCAAAAATTAAGTTGGATAAAGTTACTTTTTGTAAAAAAGTTGCTATTTTAAATCCTCCCCAGTGAGCAGGTTAAGTGTTAAATTTTCAAAAAAATGACATCAAATGAAAGGGAAATATCTAAGGTTTTAGTATGAAAAAAATTATGTTGATTTGTTTATTTTTGAAAAAGTTATGGAAGTTTTAAGAAAAAAAAGTGAAAAAAATGACAAAATTTACCGATTTTTAAATTTGTAATTTTTTTGGAGGTTTCCCCCATTTACGGGGAACGAGGGAAATTTTTTTAATTTTTGAGAATAATGTCTTCGACTAGATACGATTTGTGATCTTTTGACGTATTGTTGAAAGAAATCGGTCCAGTGAGAGCTGAGAAAAAGTGGCAACAGACAAAAAAAAAAACACATCATGGTAAAATTAATACCTTCTCAGCTTCGCATCGAAGCTATAATATAAAATAAATAATAATACACTGACAAAAGTCAAAAATTGTCATTCTGAATATTATGTAATTACTGACTGTTACCTGTATTGATATTTCAGCATAGACAATAATCCGAGAATGCACTAAAAATACATTTGGAGATAAGTTATATTCTTAACGATAGGAGAGGTGGAAAGTTTTATGTATTTAGGATCAGTTATACAAAAAAAAAACGGGTATGTTGATGTAAGATACAAGATTAAGTGCAGGTGTGTAATGTGGAGAGAAACATCTGATGTGTTATGTGATAAGAGAATTCCAGTGAGAATGAAAGGTAAGTTCTATAAGACGTTGTGAAACCAGATATGATGCATAGTTCAAAGTGTTAGGCGATTGACAAGAGAATAAAACAGAAGTGAGAATGCTTAAATGGATGAGTTGAATGACTACAAAAGGTGGGATAAGGAACGTACATATATAATGGAGTATACGTAAGAGAAAACTGACTTAGATGACTTCACCATGTTGTGAGAAGAGAGGAATCGGAAGTTGTAAGAACAGTTATAAAAATGAATGTTGAAAGAAGAAAAGATTGAGGAAAATTGTTACTGAATGCGATATGAGGACTAATTATGTGGGAAATCGTGTTAAGTGAAAGTTTATAATGACCATGAAAATTTTCGAAGGCTTTGGAGGGAATTTAACCCCTTTCTTACCCCATGGATACGCCACTATCCCACCAACTCTTAAGTTCGAGATTTTGACGAATTCTCTTAAAAATAAATAAAAATAAGTGATTTAAAAAAGTATTTAGGAATATTTAGTATACTTTTAAAATGTATTTTTAATTGTATTTAAATATTTTTTGTATGAACTATTCGAATACGTATTTCATATTTATTTTTAAATTATTTTTAATGTGACAACAAATATTACTATATATATTTATTCATATATTAACATACGAAAAATTTATAAATTATGGAATACACTCATTTATAGTATAAATAAATTTATTTGAGCCAACATTTTAATGTTTATTCAATTTTGGCAGAGCAAATCAATACTCATCAGACTAAATAATTAAATTCAAATTGAATTTTGTACAGATATATTCAGTAAAATTAATATATTTTAAAAAAGTCAGCAATAAAAAAATCATATATTAGTTTAATGAATTTATAAGTTACTTATAACTGTGTTATCAATTTACAAAAAATGTATTGTGGAATTTTTATGATAACATTTATATTTTTTGGACTTTCGTTTTCTATGAATACCAGAAAAGAAAAAATAGAATATGCAAAATATCTAATTCGAGTGATGAATCATATTCGTATTCAAGAAGGTTGGAATAATATAAAACACTTAGAATTGAAAATGGATTCATTACATGATAAACCTCTTCAAGAAATTTTTGCACAAAATGTTGACAGTGAAAATCTTTTAGAACTGTCAATTATCATTATTGATTTACTAAACAACATATATATTGAAGTAATAAGATCATTTTTGGAGTTTCTTAGTTTAATTATAAACGTATGTAAAATATATTATGCAGACAATTTATTTAAAGAACTCATTGATTGTATTGAATTACTTGAGAATGGAGTAAAAAAATCAACGTTTTTATTTGAAAAATTGTATACAGCAATTACATTTATCAGTAATTTAAATATAAAATATGCATTTTTTAAAATAGAGGGCAATCCTTTTGTTGTGGTTGATGAAATATACTTTGTCAAGCAATTTACGAGTAACATAAAATTAACAGATTGGACATTTTATAGAAACCCTTGTGTGGATTTTGACAAAAATGTAGCACTAACTGTAATTAGTAATATTAATAAATTCGCTAAAGAGTTAGTTGAAATGATATTTAACATTAAAGGAAATCATAATATCTTAGAAAATTTCCCCTATCAAATAAATATTAAATTTATGTTCGATAAGTTATACAACTACAATATAGATAAATATTCGGATTATCATAATTTTATTTTACACCAACTCGATACAGTTTATGGTCATATAGCAAAAAATGAATTTGACAACTTTGGATTTAACGAATTACTTTATCCTCAGATATTTAAGTAAGAAATATAATATTTACTTAAAATTACTAATAGTTAATTAAATTAAGTTCATTAAGTTAACTTAACTTAATAAACTAAATTATCTTAACAAAGTCAAAATGTTAAAAATAGCCACTTCAAAAAACACTTTTTGATTAAATATTTCCAAAGTAATAAGAGAAGAAAAATTGTTTTTATACTGAATTTTACAAATAAATCATATCACTAAAATGAAATACTTTTAATGATCATAGACCAATATATAATTTACTAAACCAAATGTTTACGCTGATTTCAAGTCTGAAATAAGATTTTTTCAAATGAAAAACGTAATTAAAAAAAAAACAAAATTTTATCATGTTATTATTGATTTTTAATTTGTTAAAAATAATTCGTACAAAATTTTGATTTAAAATGTTATGATTGACATATTTTTGCAGTCTTTTAAATTTGATTTTATAAAAGTTTATAATTTAAAACTTTTAAACACTATTTATGCCTAACTTGCAAGTTTAGAATTGAAAATTTTATGAGGATTTAAAAATTATATTTTAAGATTTATATCAGTAAATTAATGAGGAATACTTAAAATTTCGTTAAAATCACTATTTTTATTGAAATACATTATTTAAATAGAAGTCTAAGTAATAATTTATATGTAACTTTTGGTGTTAAAATAGATGCTACAATTTAAATATTCATGGGATATAACTATATTCCATATAGTTATATCCTATAATACTATATAATATTAATTTCATGCTGCATTAAATTACAATAATAGATATTTATTCATATATTATAATTATAAATCAAATAACAAATCGGGACAAAATTAAGGGAATAAGAGTTATTGTTGCTTTTGAAATAATCTACCAATTTCTTAAAATTAAACACTATCTACAGATTTGTATCGAAGCGTTACTTATGACAGTGATTTTAATCACTGTCAGATATCATATATACTTGTCCCAACTATACCACATCCACACAGTGCAGCGGCCCCACTGTACTACCGTTTTTTTTAAATCAAAACTTCTAATTGTTTATATTAAACATAACTTTGCTTAAATTGATTTATTTTTTTTTTACAGATCTCCATTGCTTACGCCACCACCGGACGATTCAAAATCTCCAGGATATAAAGTAAAAGCTATGGATATACTTATTAATGAGATTAATTGGGAATCTTTGAGTGGTATATCAATACTGGAATACCATCAAACAATTAAGTCTAGCCGTGTATTCAGAGATCCAGTTAATGTTTATAACTTCCAACTCAAAAAAACATATATTTTAATTTTGTTGAGATGTAGGTTTTTTGAAATATTATCAGAATACCTTTCATATTTAACTGCAATTGTGCAATTATGTAACGAGGAAAAAGGAGATTTAAAGTCTACAAAATCTCAAATTAAATATATTGAATCGGTGCAACAAATATTTGATACATTTAAAAGTTCTCTAGATTTTTTTAATTATATAGATACAGCAATGATGAATTTAATGAAATGGTCGATTTGGAACCATTATAGCGTAGATGTATTTTTATCGCCCATAAAATTATTGGTAAATAATTTTATTAAACAGATAAATGAAAAAAAGTTGTTACGTGATGTTTTTGCTAACACAGAAAATTTAGATTTAATAATTATAGCAAAACAACATCTAGATGATTTAAAAAATGTCTGCATTATTTTTAATAAAAATATTGTAAGTGCAAAAAAGAGACAGAAAGATCTATGTCATTTTAATTCAGATTTTAGAACTTATAAAAATAATATTAAAATTATTAGCAAGAAAAATGCTGCTGTATTTAACTGTACTAAAGGTAACGACCCGATCACTAACAGTCAACAGGCTTGTAAGGAATTTCATATATATAATCAAAATTTTATCAACTATGAATATAAAAATCTAGGGTTTCATAAAATTTATTAAAATATTTTTTTATATTTCAAAAACTAATCGTTATATATTTTAACCTTTTAATAATAATACTTTTAGCATTTATTTTTAGTCATTATTTAATAAAATAGATGTAAATTAGATTATTTTATTTTATTTTTAGTTTATTTATTAATAATGATCTTTATTGATTTGTTCTGGACTTATATAAATATTATTTCTCATAAAATAATTGTATTGATCCTTATACTTTTCAATAAGTTATAGCATTATAAAGTTAAAAATGTAAAAAATAAAATCGAGAATTTTCACACAAAATTAGCATTTGGTAGCCATTTTCACCGTGAAGACCAAATAAAGTCCGATATTTTTTTTTTCATGATAAAGTATATTATAATAGCTTTAATTTAAGATAATACAAAAGTGTCAGACTTTCCGAAACACTTTCAAAAGTTAAGTTCAAAAAGTTCAATTTATGTGAAAAAGTTGTCATTTTAAATCTTCCCCTGTGGGCAGGTAAAGAGTTAAATTTATAAAAAAAATAGACCATATGATAGGTAAAGACATCAAGAATCTATAAAAAAAAATTATATTGATTTGTTCATTTATGAAAAATTAATGGAAGTTTACAAAAAAAAATTTTAAAAATTTCGAAAATTAGCGATTTTTTAATTTGTAATTTTTTTGAGATTTCCCCCATTTACGGGGAACGAGGGAAATTTTTTCAATTTTTAAGGGTAATGTATTCGACTAGATATGATTTGTGATCTTTTGACGTATTATTGAAAAAAATCAATTCGGTGAGAGTTGATAAAAAGTGGCAAACGTCACAAAATAAGAAAAAAATACATCATAGTAAAACAATATCTTCTTAGCTTCACATCGAAGCTAATAAATAGTAACTAATATTCAAACGCATTCTCTTCATTTTGTCTACTGTACCAACCCGGTCTTAACACCGTTAAGCCAAATTCATTCACTAGGCGCTTTGTAGAATTATCGAAAGTATTATTATTATTATTTTAAATTGTTTAAATTAAAATTCGAATTAATAGTCCATAAGTTGTTATCGACCAGTTATTTTTCTTAATTGGACCATTTTTTATTTTATAAACTAGTTTGAAACGTACGCTGCTGTTAGAAAATTTAAGTTGACACCCTTATAATATAAGTCATGAACATGAAAAATACTTCATGATTGATAAATTAAAAAAAACTTGTAGCAAAAAGAAACAAAAAAAACCCAGCACAGTGGGGTCGCGGCATAGTGGGGTCCAGTATAGATTTAATCTGACAGTGATTAAAAACACTAACATAAGAAACACTTCGATGCAAAACTGTAGATAGTATTTAATTCTAGGAAATTGATGGATAATTACAAAAGCAACATCAACTTCTATTTCCTTAAATATACCCAGATTAGTAATTCTTTTAATTATATATTATATAATTTTTTAAATTAATTGTTTTCAAATTATTATTGATTTTGATTTTTAATATGTTAAAAGTAATCATTTTGAACCTACTTTTTTTTGTACTTTAAAGTGAAAGTTTTAATAAAAAAAAGTGAATTTGTTACCATAACTTATAGTTCCACTTGCAAGTTTGAAATTGACATTATTAAATAGAAAAAAATGAAATTGTTAAGATTAATAAGCAATCAGGGAATTTTATAATTACTAGTTACAGTACATTTATCAGAAAAATTCGATTTTTTTGCATTTTTATCGTAATAGATCACTTAAATAAAAATCATAGTAATCATTTCTAATTAACTTTTGTCTTTTAAAAAGATTCTGCAACGGAAATATTCAGAATTTAATTAATTTTAATGATTATATATCTAAAAAAACCAATAAAAAAAAAGTTGTTAAAAAGATTTACTCAATTGAGCGTATTATAAAATTTGATTATAATTGTAAAAATCCATCGTTAAATTCAGGTGAAACTAAAAATAATTTTTTTTTTTAATTTATGATTTATATAGCAACATGTTACAAAGAATTTTGGGATATTATAGACTGGTAGTAGCACACACAAATAGAGTTAAAAAATGAATAAATTACAAAGTAAAATTATTTACTTTTGTAGTTGAATACTTTTATCATATCAAATCTAATTTGACAATAAATACTTTAAGAATATTAGAAATTAATGATTTTAATTGTTTGTGTGGAAAAAGCAGATTAAGCTACTTTTTATTTGAATAAGGAATATTTTTTCGATTTTTAAGAGTAATAACTTAAACTAAATACGAATTGTAATCATTTGACGTATCGTTGAAAAAAGTAGGTCTAGTGAGGGTTGGCAAAATAAATCGTATCCACAAAAAGAATCACATAGTAGAATAATATTAACATGAATATAAATTTCTTCTTACAAGGGGACACTATAGTGATGGGATTCTTTATATTTATTGAAGTTATTGAGTCTAAATAAGATAAATATCAAATGATTTGAAAATTTTATTCTAACTCAAAAAAAATGCAAAATATTAATTAGTCACAGACGGATTGAACCTCGCACGCTAAGCGTGAAAAACACAAGTGTTACCGATTCGGCAACGGTTCGTTGCTTTCGTCATATGATAAAATTGATTATTTAAGCTAACTCAAATTTAAAAATTACTCTTTTGAATTGAAAAAAATAAAAAAAATTTTATAAGTTTAATTTCTTATGTCTTATGAACTTTATTCTATGTCAATTAAATTATAAAATATTCATGAAAGTCAGTGTATTGCCCTTATAAGATATTTTAAGATAAAATTAAATACAAAACCCAGGATTTTAACACAAAAATAGTATATTTTNTAAATACAAAACACAGGATTTTAACACAAAAATAGTATATTTTTGAATATGGTAGCCATTTTCGTATAGATAGGTAAAAATTTTATTTTAATTTTATAGTACATGACATAAGCTTTAATTTGGCATATGTTTAAAGGACGCAGTATTTTCGGAACATTTTCAAAAATTAAGTTGAAAAAGTTATTTTTTGTAAAAAAAGTTACTATTTTAAATCTCCCCAGTGAGCAGAATAAGTGTTAGATTTTCAAAAAAAATTATATCAAATGAAAGGTAAATATCTAAGGTTTCAATACAAAAAAATATTATTTTTATTTGTTCATTTTTGAAAAAGTTATGGCAGTTTTAAGTACAAAAAACATCCCGATAAAAGGTAATTTTTATCGCAAACATTACATTTTTTTTTAATTTTCGACAGCCATTTGCAAATAGAAGATAAGATGTCGGGACAATTTTTTTTTTTCATTTTATAGTACATAAAATAAGCTTTAATTTGATATATGTTTAAAGGACGCAGTATTACTGGAACATTTTCAAAAATTAAGTTGGAAAAAGTTAGTTTTTGTAAAAAAGTTGCTATTTTAAATCCTCCCCAGTGAGCAGGTTAAGTGTTAAATTTTCAAAAAAATGATATCAAATGAAAGGGAAATATCTAAGGTTTTAGTATGATAAAAATTATGTTGATTTGTTTATTTTTGAAAAAGTTATGGAAGTTTTAAGAAAAAAAAGTGAAAAAAATGACAAAATTTACCGATTTTTAAATTTGTAATTTTTTTGGAGGTTTCCCCCATTTACGGGGAACGAGGGAAATTTTTTTAATTTTTGAGAATAATGTCTTCGACTAGATACGATTTGTGATCTTTTGACGTATTGTTGAAAGAAATCGGTCCAGTGAGAGCTGAGAAAAAGTGGCAACAGACAAAAAAAAAAACACATCATGGTAAAATTAATACCTTCTCAGCTTCGCATCGAAGCTAAAATTCAATTTATATAATTACATTATTTTCATATCACAATTACATGGTATAATTTTTATGTTTTATAAGCCTGTTCTTATGGGAAGTCCTTTGTATAAACGAGATTAAATTATCACTGGTAATAGAAAATCCAAAGATGGCCATGTTAATGAAAATAATTAACTCTAGTTAAGTTATATATGATCAATGTCGATAAATTAACAATTAAAAGTTAACAAATTATAAATTTAACTTGTTAAGTTCAATTTTTTTTTAACTTTACTAGTATATAAAAAAAAGTTATTTTATTTAAAATTATTTTTTGGCTAAAATCTCTTAAAATCATTTTTTATTGGTCAGTGATGTAAGGGAAAACTAAGAATCGATTTTCAACTTTTTAAGTTAAATCTTCTTCTTCTTCCTCGTCTTAATCCCAACTACTTGGGGTAGTTGGGATAACTACCCTTATCCTAAACTTTCACTTGACATAATCTCACATATCATCTACGCTGACATCAGCTGTCTTCATATCGCATTCCATTATATCTCTCCATCTCTTTTTGGGTTTTCTTCTGCCTCTTCTTCCTTCATCATTCATTTCTATAACTATTCTTACAGCTTCCGATTCCTCTCTCCCTATAACATGACCAAACCATCTAATAATTGTAAGTCAATTTTCTCTCATCTTATCCACGATTGACGCTACACCTATACTGCCTCTTATGTTTGTTTCTTATTCTATCTTCTCTAGTCACTCCACTCTTTAATCTAAGCATTCTCATTTTTGCAACACTCATTTTCTACTCTACTTTCTTGCTAACCACCCAACACTATGAACCATATATCATTGCTGGTCTTACATCAGTTTTATAGAACTTACCTTTTAGTCTCACTAGAATAAAAGTCATAACACACCAGATGTTTCTCTCCACATTACCCACCTGCACTTAATCTTATATCTTACATCACTATCACCGTTTTTTTACACAACTTATCCTAAATAATTAAAACTTTCCAACTCTCTTATCATATCCTTGATTATTGTTACTGAAATCCTCATTTCGCCTACCTCGAATTCTCCCTTGTCAAACTCGTACTCTATATATTTATTCCTACTTATTCTTAAACCCTCTTCTTCAAGAGCTGATCTCCACACATCTAGCCTATAATTAATTTCCTTCCAATTAACNTTGTCAAACTCGTACTCTATATATTTTGTCTTATTCCTACTTATTCTTAAACCCTCTTCTTCAAGAGCTGATCTCCACACATCTAGCCTATAATTAATTTCCTTCCAATTAACATTTTATCGTCAGCGGACAACATGCACCACGGCATCTCTTCTTCTCTTTCTTTGTAATTTCATTCAACACTATAGACAATTAGTAAAGGCTTAAAGCAGAACCTTGGTGCAATCTTACTCTTACCCGAAAACCTTCTGTTACTCCTCCTACACATTTCATCCTGATACAAGTGCCATCATATATATCCACTATTATTTTAATGTTCCTTTTCGGGGCTTCTTTTCTTATTAATGCCCACTTTATAACCTCTAGGTACTCTATCATACGCTTTCTCCAAATCTATAAATACCATACACTGCTTTTTCTTCTTTTCCCTAAACATTTCTATTATTTGCCTCACACAAAATAATGGCTCCATTGTTGAATTACTAGGCATAGATCCAAACAGGTTTTTAAATACTGATGTCTCATTTCTTATTCTCTTATATGTTACCTTTTCACAAATTTTCATACTATGACTCATAAGCTTTATACCTCTATAATTTCCATACTCCTTTTTGTTTCCTTTACTATTAAATATCGGCACCACAATACTATTCCTCCACTCATTTGGGATTTTTCCTTCTAATAACATTTTATTTAAAAGATTCTTCTACCGCCTAATACCAACACCGTCTAATATTTTCTATACTTTTACTGGTACTTCATTTCGTTCTACTGCTTTATTCTTCTTCATTGATGCCACAGTCTCCCATATCTCTTTCTCACTAATTAAATCTTCCAGTCCCTCGTTCCACGAGATATCCTCTAATGTTCCTTTTGAATAATTCTCATTCAGTAATTTTTCAAAATACTCTTTCCACCTTATTTTCACATGATCATCACTCGATAGTATCCTATTATTAACACTTATTATATACCTTACATAGTGATAATCTTTAAACCTTTTTTTTCTCTTACTTTTGCAAGTCTATACATTTCTTTTTCGCCTTTCTTTTGTTTTAGTCTATCAAACAACTCATTATGCCATTTAAACTTAGGAAAAAATATTAATAATAACAAAACATTATTCTATTCGTTTTGTACATTTTTGTTTTGGTTGCACTGTTTTATCTTTAAAACAAATCAGTTAAAAATCATATACATTTTTTAAAAAATTCAGAAAACTATAATTATTGTTATATAAATATAATATTTGTGTGGAAAATTTCTGTTTTTTTTTCAAATTAAACCACGTACGCAGCGTATAAAGACATAAATTTTGTTATGACATATTGAATTTAGCTTAATTGTTATTTCAACTAATTAACTGAAAAAAATCTAAGTTATTTCAACAGAAAATTAAATTAGTTAAGTTAAAAATTTTATTAGAAAAATAATTAACTAGTTAAGTTGAAAAGTTAAAAAAAATTAATTTTTAACTTATCTTTAACTTTTTAACTAGTTAATGCCCACCATTGAGAAAATCCATGTAAAAGTTTTTTAAAAGTGTATACATTTTATTCCATATTTCATTGTTTTTTACAATTTTATCAATCACCTTACCTACTAATAGTAAATATTAATTTTCAGTCTAACTACACACCTAAATAATTTTTTTTGAAGTATCACTTATACCTCTTGTATTCTAAGTACTCTATATAATACTAAATATAAGAGGTTATATCTCATAATCGCTCATGTGTTGACCAGCTTTTTTAAAAAATAATTTACTTCTTTTTATTGGATGTAGTTTAAATTTAATTTTATAATTAATATAAAAGATTTATATATTTGAAGATCAAGAAATCTATATATGTGTTGAAATAAAAATGTCATCGCAAAAGTTCCTTAGTGCTAGTTCTATGTTGACATCATAGTTGGCGAATGAAGAATACATATTATTGTGACAGATTTAAAGGGAAATTATTAAAATTTAAATGCTGAATACTTTAACAAAATGTATATTTTAATCTTTTGATGTATCGTTAAATAATAACAGTCCAGTAGGTACAGATATGGATAGATATGACAAAAAACACATTATAATAAAACTAACTAATATCTTTTCAGTTTTCTATCTAAGCTAAGAAAATGTATGAAAATTATTCTTATATACATGTACCTTCACCAGATTTCTTTTTAGTACTACTTATTTAATGTTTTTTTTTTTGACGGTATTATTTTACGATTCTTAATTTCTTTAACGACATTTAAGTAATGGAAAATAACATTATAATATTTTTTTATAACAATGATAGCTTTGTCGGTCTTTTGATAAAAGCAATTAATTATATATCATATATACAGATATAAAATCAAGCGTCAATTAATTTTTAACTATTTTTAGGCAGTCGGTATTGCCCTATACAGCTATGAACAATAAAATAGTTGCAGCGGATACCACACAAACGCGCACGATCATGTTTGAAAACCATAAATTTGAACGTACAAAACTACCTGTTTTTGTTCGATCAGTACCACGAACCTGCTGATAGGATATGAACTCTGAAAACATATTTGAATCCAACATCATAACACTTAGGTATCGGTCAGACCGTTTTTAACTTCAATGCGAAGCTGAAAAGATATTTTACTATGTGTTTTTTTTTCGGTGTCCGTTACCACTTTTTCTTTGCTCTCACAGAACCGATTTCTTTCAATGATACGTCAAAAGATTACAAATTGTATCTAGTCGTAGACATTACCCTCAAAAATTGAAAAAATTTCCCTCGTTCCCCGTAAATGGGGGAAATCTCCAAAAAAATTACAAATTTAAATTTTGTTTTACTTCAAATTTAAACTTTTTTAAAAATAACCAAATCAATATCATTTTTTTATAGATGCATGATGTTTTTACCTATCATTTGGTATATTTTGTTTAAAAAACTGACCCTTTACCTGTCCACAGGAGGGGATTTAAAATAACAAATTTTTCACAAAAAATGAACTTTTTGAACTTAACTTTTGAAAGTGTTCCGGAAATACTGATACTTTTATATATATCTTACATTAAAACTTATGTAATATACTTAATTGTAGAAAAAAAAATTTTGGACTTTATTTTGTTTTCAGGGTGAAAACAGACATCCAAGTTAATAAAAAAAATACGATTTTTGTAAAAAAGTTCTTTTTTGTATTTTTAACTTTATAACGCTATAACTTTTTGAAAAATGTATGGATCATTATAGTTTTTTTAAGATAAGTACTATTTATTTATATATATATATATTGAAGTATCTATTCATATATTACACTTATAAAACATAAAACTTGTAATTAGAATATAAATAAGGAAATAGGCAATCATATAGCTTTTGGAATAATCCATCATTTTTTTAAAATTAAACACTATCTATAGATTTCCATCGAAGCTTTTTTTATGATAGGGATTTTAATCACTGTCATGTATCATTATACTTGACCCAACTATGCCACGTCCTCACTGTGTCACGACGCCACTGTGCTGGTTTTTTTTTTTTTTAATTCTTTCAGTGCAAAAATTTTGAAAAAATTAAAATTTTCAAAAATGTTAATTGTACTTAAGGGTTAAAAAAATCATAACTTCAAAAAAGAGGCCTCATCAATACTAAGTGACATGATGCTGAATTCACATGTTTTCAGAATCCTTATCGCATCAGTAATTTTGTCGTACTATTGGATGAGAAACGGGTTTTTCTCTTTACGTTATAAGCCTTAAGTCAATTTTTAATAAAACATAATACAATTGATATTATGATTACTCAAATATACTAATTTAATTAAAATAATTATTTTCAATTCATAAAATTTTCAATTATTAGTTTAAATAGCTACAATAAATAAATAAATTGATTGTAATAATCTTAAATAATATGTAAGTCACTAGTATATTTAATTAATGCTAATAATGAATGAAATCTAAAATAATAACTTATCAATCTAAAATCAGATAATTAAGAAACCTATAGTTTTCTTGATTTTTTTATTGAAAAACTTTCACCTGAGCAGGACGCACATGAACAAGATGAAGGAACTGCAACCGTTTTTTTGTACGTATGGCCATCTTTGCATATTAAAGGTACAGACAATTTTTCATACCGGATGGCTTGGCAACATTGACACTTAGAATCATGTTTTATTGTTTCTAAATAAGATAGTATGTTAAATTTTAACTTAAATTTAATTCTCGAACTTTTAAAACATATAAATATTGTAAATATATGAATTACTTTTGTTAAAATATGTATAAGAATCACACATTCCTCTGCACTCCGTGAAACCAACAATAGCATCTATATTAGCACAAAAATCGTGGAATGGATTTTCTTCAGTGATAAGCCCAACTGTTTGATTAAGAGGTAAACTTTCTGGAGCACATAATACTTTATCACTTACAGGTATCTCAGTATTGTTACAACGTTCACAACAGCCATCAATGTATATTTTATTTTCAGGGCAGTCACCAATATTCGGACAAGACTGATATACAGATACAATATTAAACTAAAAAAAATGGATATTTAGAATTAAATATAATAATAATGTATTTAGTATTAAACAATATCTACTTCATTGAATTCTGATTTTGTACAAATATGAGTTGTACAATTATTATCATAAGTCCACGTTTCATTCTCAGCATAAATTTTATTTTGCATAACACAATTTACTTGAACGCATGATCCACAGCAATTACTAGAGCTAGGTTTATCATAAATCCAACCCTAAGATGAAAAATATTATATCAATCTGAATACATTAGATTACATATGAATTGTATTTACCAAAGGACATTCAGTGTTACAGTTTTTCTCGGATTCGTGGATATATACTTCATCATTACTATCTTGTTTACAACTTAAAGTTTTGCAAGGATCTGATGAAGACCACTCACTTCCCACGTTAAATATTTTTCCATGGTAAATACATGCTTCTTTTTTATAAATCGGACAACATTGGCCATACTTAAATTTGGCTATTATTACATAGTTCAAACTAACAGGTGAAGAAGGACATTCAATTTTATTACAAATTCCTTTTCTAGAATTCATATCACACAAACATGTTCGACAGGGACCATCTTCCCAAGTATCGCCATTCTATATATGATACATATATTATATTCTAAGTTATTATGTAAAAATAATATCAAAAACAAGTAGTGTGTTAATATGTTTACTTGTTTCAAATCAACAGTTTTTTCATCGTTGTACCTCTTGCGTTCTCCTCCCTCAGCAGAGGCAATCCACTCATACTCATAAATACACGTATTATTTGGCAATTCTAAATAATAAGAAACAAGTGTAAATCACTAATTTACAAAAAATTTTATATTAATATTATGCAATTGTAAATTGTATAACAATTTAATAAAATAACTTAAATTTTATAAATGTATTTCTATAAAATCGAACTGGTTTTAAACTGGTACATTTTATGAAACCATCATAATAATTTTTTTTTCTAGTTTAAAAAGTAAAATTTACCACACTTATAATGTGGACAGCAAGAATGATTATCAATATTTATTTTTTTATAATACATATCACATGGTTTTGGATCAGGACAAGTATCTGACCGACAAATTGCTTGGAACGTTGGACAACATCCTTGATAATTCATCACATTTACCATACCTGGTAAAAGCTCAACATCTTGATCGGGCAATGTCGAATGACATTGATCTCTAGGTATACACTCTATAAAAAGATAAACCATATTATATTCAATAAATTTATTTTTAAAAGTAACATAAAATTATCTCACCACAGATAAATTTTTTACAACCATTTGTAGATAATTCCATTTTGACAATCTGATCTTTAGCACATACAGGCATTATGATATCTGTGCAATTTTGCACAACGTTTTCTTCTGGAACTATAAATAATGTTAATCAATATTGAACTAAAATTGTAAATCATTTTCGCATACTGCATTTAAAAACATCACAACATTCATCAGAGTTCTGTTCATCTTTTACTGATTTATAGCCAATTTGACAAATAGAAAATGAAGATGTAGGACATGGCTTTCTTTCACAGTGAATAGTTTTTAAGCCTGGAGAACAAGTACATGTGGTACATTTATCAACTAACCATGAGTCGCCAACAAAATGATTTTCATTATCACAGGGTTCACATCGGGCTTCATCAACACACGAGCTGTTTTTAAACACTTGGCCTGAAGGACAAACACACATTTCGGTTGAATGACCATTACATGAATTTCCTCCAGAACGTGAGACTTTGTAATTATCACAAGTTTCTTCACAACCAGTTGTACATGCTTGATATATTAAACCTAAAAAACAAATAATTATTAGTAAATTTTAATTGAAAGTTTTACGTTTGGAATTTTCATTATTAATTTTATGAATGATTCTGTTTCTTTGAAATTTCACCAATGTGTTTTCTATTTTTTTCTTTTTATAAGTAGTCAACGTAGTAATAAAAAAAAATATTTATTCAATTAATACAGGATACATCAAATTTAATTGAAAATCATTATAACTTTTGAGTAAATTAATATTTTTTACTCATTTTTTTTATAAATTGTTACATACCTTTACTTCATTAATACCATATTCGTCAAATATAAAAAAAGCAAATCAAAATGTCAAAATTGTCTTTTTTTAGCGCATTCCATAAACATATTTTATTTATTGATGGTAATTTTTGAGGTAATACATAATGAGTTACAGATATTTAAGTATGTTTAGTAGGTATTTTAAGCAGTACTAATATTTATTAACGCTTATAGTTTACCTTGAGGACACGTATAAGGGCACAAATTTGGTGATCTCCAGTTTAAACACACACCAAATGATTGACACTCACGTACATAAGATTCTAATGAGTGACAAAATACGCCCTCAAGACCTTCGCATAACATTAAATGACATTTTCTTATATATATCTCAACGTCAACAATTGGATGACATTGGCCAAATAATTGGATGTCCATTAATTTCAGACAGGGATCCATATCGGGAGCAGGAATCTTACATTTTTCTTTATTTTCTTCATTTTTAATTGCTTCACATTTATCAATACCTAAAATATATAAAAAGTTTTTATAAAAAAACCGTTCAACAAGCTTCAGTGCGTAGGTCAATGTTAATTTCCGTTGCGATAGGCTGTACTGTTTCCCATTTTCATTGACACGAACAATAGTTTTTAAGGAAAAAATTTGAAAATAATTAAAATAAAACTAATTTAAGTTTAATTTTTATCATTTATAAATACCTAAATAAACAATTAGTTAAAAGAAACAGAATGTCTTCATTTTCAAAAATGTATTTTTTGACAGGGAACTATACGACAAAACAATTTAATTTACAAAAAAAAATTGTTGAAACTACTATTCAACTAAATACAAAAAAAATAGCACAGTTGGGATTAGACATTATTGGAACAAGTTTAGATATCTGTCAGTGGTTTTAATCACTATCATAAAAATGACTTTGATGCAAATCTTAGTAAGTGTTTAATATTTAGAAGGGATTTTCGGATTATTCCAAAACAACATCAACCCTCATTTTTATAATAAAATTCTGATTTCAATTTTAATAATTTATGAATACATTAATAAATACTTATTGGAGAATCATTTACATATAGACAACAAGTCATCGAGAAAAATTTTTCTACTAGTGGTATGTATCATAAACTTTAATTTAATATGTGTATCAAGCTGGGAGTATTCTACAACATTTTCAAATACTAAGTTGAACACATAAAAGAATTAATTATATTTTTTGTAGTTGATGTCTAGATACAATTTGTAATCTTTTGATACGTTTTTTTTATACGAAAAATCGAAACATTTTCAGCTTAGTACTAGAGCTAAAAGAATATTGAAACATGAATTAAGTATTAAAAATAATTTATGACATAAATATTGAATTTAAAAAATAATTAAGTAAAATATTTTTATAAAATATATGGTAATTAACTAAGCCTATGTTATATCTTTAAAAATTTTAAACATATTACAACTTTTTTTCCTGAAGTTAATGGTATCTTATGTTCTATAATTTTCAAAAAATATTTATATCACCACTCATTTACTTTAAATTATAATTCATTTGACCTTTTTAAAAGAAAATATGTTTATTTAACTAGTTTAAAATAAGAAAATTATCTAACTAAGAAAATAACTGGTCAATAACAACTTTTGAATTAGTAAGCGTTGTAAAATATATTAGTGCTTTTATAGTATGACGATAGTATGCGATTCATAAATACCTAGTTAAATAAATAAATAAATCGCGTTTCCTTTCTTTTTAAGTGTTAATAACTTCAAATATAATTTGTTTTATACTTATTAAATATTACACAATGATGTTATTAGGGTTTCATTTTGAGGGGATATATATAAGAACATTTTTGAAGTGAAAATTCTTCATAAAGGATCTGAAAAAATAACAGATTATCGAACGTCACAATCGGCTATTAAGTATACTTTATATTATAATTTAGTACTGTATCTTCGAATATTAAAATAATTTTATTTAAAATAATTTTGATTGTATATAAAAAATTTAAAAAAAAATAGTATAGGTCATTTTATACCGAGAAGTTGATTAAATTACAAATAAATAAGAAGTTGTAACGTAATAAAATGGTACCCCTTGAATAGGTGTACAAATTAAAAAGTCTAGTATTTATACAAAATTTCAGCGTTTATTTGAGTAGCAAAAATATTGAACTCGATAATCAAAGTATTGACTATCGTTAGTTACGTCTTTTCCCCACTTTTTTGACAATTCATGGATTCCGTCCCAATACCACTTCTAATCTTTTGAGACTAACCATTGATCATGTCAATTTTTCAATTCCTCGTACGAATTGAAGTATTGTACCGAAAGTCCGTGTGTTATCGATCGGAATAAGTAGTTGTCTGATGGAGCAAGGTCTGATGAATATGGCGCGTGGGGTAGTACGTCTCATTTTATGTTTTTCGAATAATTTTTCACCGGTCGTGTAATATTGTCATAAAGCAAAACCACTTTGTGTGTTCGTTCAGCCCATTCTGGTGATTTTCTTTTTAATGCTTGGTTCAATTTTATTAATTGTTGTCGGTAGCGACCAGCTGTAATCGTTTCACCAGGTGTTAGCAGATCATAATACACAGGTCCTTTCTGATCCCACCAGATGCACAACAAAGTCCTCTTTCCATGAATAATACGTACTGGTTGTGATGTTGATGGTTACCTTGGTCTAACCAGGAATTGTCGAAATAGATCCATTTATCATCGTCAGTAACGATCGATGCAAAAAAGACTTTCTTTTGAACCGGTTAAGCAAAAGTTTGCAAATGGTTTTTCGTTTTTCGATGTCTCTTTCTTTCAATGAATTCGGCACCCATTTCCCTTCTTTTTGAATTTTTCTTGTATGTAATCGATTGGAAATAGTTTGTTACGTCACTCCGAGTTTGACTGCCATTTGTTTTTCAGTTTGAGTTGAGTCTTCGTCCAATAACGCTTACAAATTTACATCTTCAAACTTTTTACCTGACCTGGATGCTTTTTGTCTTTCACATCAAAATTACCACTTTTAAAGCGTTTAAACCATCGTTCACATGCTGAAATACCTAAGGTATGATCACCATAAGCTCCCACGATATATCTATGCGCTTAGCTGCACTTTTTCTACAATTAAAAAAATAAGATAAAATTTTGCGCAAATGCTGTTTATCTGGCTCAAATTTCAACATTTTCGAAGTGATAAAAAAATATGTTGTTTGTACAATAACAATCAATAACAAAATCGGTTTTGATAGCGTATGTTAACTCTCCAAAATTCTATAATTGTCATTTCTATATACCAACAATTGTATTGGTAACGTCAACTGTTAGCAAAATTGGCCTATTTAATATGTACACCTATTATTATATTAAATATAATACAGAAATCAACAAATTTTGTTAATTATCAAATGACTGCGTTTATTTTCTTTTTTTCATGATTATTGAATTAATAAGTTTTAATTTAAGTTGCGCGCGTGCGAGATAGTCAATTGTGTTTACTACTTTTGAAACTAGTTCAACGGACTGCATTTGTGTGAACACTCACTTCATTTTCTTCCCTGTCCACATCCTAAACTCAATTTTTTTTTATTCATTATATGGGTATGTCACCATTTTGGAAACAAAAAATATTTATTTACTACTTTAAAAATTATAATATAAAGAATTTCAATGCAATTGTATTATTTGTACCTGTTAAACTAGTTTTCCAACTTATCACAAATTCATCTATGTTATTTGGAATATTTCCATCAGGTGTAGCCATATCATCAGTAGAATCGCCATTGCAACTACCACATAACCCTTCGGTTTTACCATAGTACAAATGTGATGGTAGTTTTATGGAAAATCCTTGATTTTTAACCATGAACACAATTTCTAATTCTAAATTTGGTAAATTTACAGTAACAGATTTTCCTGGCAATTCAGTTAGTAACATCCAATTATTGGAAAATGGTAATTTAGTAATTTCGTTATCATCGATGAATACTAAAATCTAAATGAAAATCATTATTGAACGTTATATCCAGAACAAAAATAGCATTTTTACTACCTTAGAAGCATCCTCATTATATGACAAACTTAAATTATTAGTTGTTTGAATAATGGATATATTCTGTACACAGATTCCATTATTGAATAAAGGATTAGAACACTTTCCAGTTGTTTCTATTATCTGTGATTTACAATAATATACATAATAAAATTAATTATTGTTAAGACCATAATATATTAAATAAAATTATACCATGTTATTATGTACTATAAAGCATGTATATTTACCGTAAATCCCGGTTTAACTAAATCGTTTTCCTTTGTAGTTTTCACAAGAATGTAAGAACAATTTTGCTTGTGATCATAATCAACTTTATCAAAAGTCGTGTAATGGCTAGTACCAGATCCTTCACAAATACCTGTAAAAGTAAAGTTTATACTGATCAATGTTATAATATAAAAATACTTAATACATAAATGCTAAAATATATATAAATTTACAATTTCTACATTTAGATGGTTTAATACAACTTCCATATTCCCTGATATAACCATCAGGGCAATAACACCCTGGGAAGCAAACTCCAGGTAGCTGTGGGCATGGATCGTTTTGTAATAGATTATCACAATTTGGCTCACATGCTTTATTAAAGCAATCTTTATAAACAAATGGAGCATGACAATTTACAGCTGTAAGAAAAAAATATTATAAATAGTATAAATATAAAAATATCTCTAATTAGGTTGTTAAACTTTACGGCAGTCATGTAATAATCGCCAATCTGAGAGCTCTACACTAGAATTCATAGTATAACATTGAGTTACTAAACCAGATATTGCTTTACAACGACATTCTGATGCATCATTTGCAGAATTTTCTGAACATGAACAAATTTTCTCCACACATTTCATTATAAATTCATCAATATTTACAAAATCACCGCATCGACTTAAAGGTTGTGATCTATAAAACAATTTTAAAAAGTATATTTTAATTTAATTCATTAATAATTTAAGATCGTGGATGTTAATTTTTATAACAACTATTATACATAATTATAGCATATAGTATTTTTTTTTTTTTAATTATATTATAATATTTTTAGCTTCCATGGGAGGCTGACAATTGTGAGAATGTACTAATTTTACTATGATGTGTTTATTTATTTATATATTTTTTTGTGTGTGTCACTATTTTTTCTCAGCTCTCACTAGACTTATTTTGATGTTTAAAAGATTACAAATCATTACTAATTGAAGATATTACCTTCAAAAATAGAAAAAATTTCCTTGTACCACTATACGGGTAAATATCAAAAAAATACTATTTTTAAAATCGGTTGATTTTGATATTTTTTAGCTTTTTTTGACTTATAACTTGTTGAACAAAGAATAAACCAAAACAATTTTTTTTATTTATGTTATAAAAAATTTCCTTTCATTAGGTAAATACTTTTTAAAAATCTTACACTTGACATGACCACTGAAGGATTCAATATTGATACTTTTTCATTAAAAGTTTATTTTTTCAGCTTAACTTTTGAAAATGTTTCGGAATTCTCCAAACTTAAACATAAGTTAAATAAAGTTTATTTTGGATACTTTAAATTAAAAATAAAAATTTTTCAAAACGTGTTATTTTCCATATGTAAAGAATACTCGAAGTTAAACAAAAAATGTTATTTTAATATAAAAAATCACTGTTTTTCATATTGTTATAATTATCTACTTAAATTTTTTTTCAACTATTTACCCTTATATTTAAGGTCAAAGAGTATAGTCATAAAAGAAGAGAATAAGTTCCCAATTGAATTCCCTCTTTAACAAAAAATTTTAAATTTAAAAATAAAATTTTCAGAGGAAACTTTTGCAACTTTTAATGTTAATTCAATAAGTATATTATAAAGATATGGCTAATCTTAACAGAAAAAATGTTTTAAATACTTACTAAAATATTTTACAATGTCTTATGATAAGTTACGATTTCAAATTCATAATTGAAATAATAAACTAATAAAGGTCAAAATAATCGAATTAAGAAATTTAGCATTTTTTTGATAAATTCTACTTAAATTTTCGATACAAGCATTAATTATTATCAAATATCATCAAAACTAACCACCTCCTCACTGTGCTAGGTTTTTTAAACGTTGTTATTATATATAATATTATATTTATTTTATAAAAAAAATGTATAACATTTTTTTTAAATTATATAAATCTAACCCTATCAAGAGAATAAATATAGAATGAAAATTTGTTCTTAATATTGAAAGAGTAAGACATATTTTTAAGGGAGCTTACTTTTCAAAGATCATATATTTGCGTCTAATAACATAAAATTATTGTTATAACGTTTTCCGAGAATATTCCTTTTAACTTTTTTATACTTTATATTATTGTAAAACGGCACTAAATAGGCTAATAAATAATTGATCACTTCCAAATATATCTATTTAGTTTCGGAAAGTCCAATTAAACTGAAATAAAAATATAGTCTACTTAAAATATAAGTGAACCAATTATCCAATCTAACTTTTTAGTTTTGACTTTTTGGACTATATTTTTACGATTCGATAATTACAATTTATTTCCGATTTTTTAATTTTAATGCGCTCAGCATAAAAAATGATGTACGGTTTACGATTACTAACAAACTAAAAGACTTATCCACCATTTATGTTTTCGAGTTTACTAACGCTTTAGGATTTTAATATTAGTAACCAAATGTATACATGACAACTAAATTTTAACCATATATGGTTAATATATAGAGTTGTTTTTGGTGATTTTATTTGATTGCATCTATATAGTATAGATTTTCTGAAAGGGAAATTATTTTTAGATTTAAAAAAAAAATGTTTCATTAAGAAGCCATACGGATACAAATATACTAAAAACCAATAAAATTTCAAAACTTAAGTTGAAAATGTAAAATTTTTGTGCAGAAGTTGCTACTTTAAATCCTCTTCTGGGGCTATGTAAAGGGTCAGTTTTTCGTAATATTTATATCAAATAAACGTGGATTACCTAAGGTTTCTATTTAAAAAAACATTATTTTGGTTTGTCAATTTTTGAAAAAGTTATGGTAGTTTTAAAAAAAAATCTCGAAATTTACCGATTTTAAAAATTGTAACTTTTTGGGGACTTTCCTCCATTTAGAAGAAACGAGGGGATGTTTGTCAATTTTTAAGGGAAAAGTCTTCAAGTCAATATAATTTGTGATCTTTTGATGTATCGTAAAAAGAAATCGGTCTGATGAGAGTTGAGATAAAGTAGCGACAGACATAAAAAAAATACACATCATAGTAAAGTTAATACCTTCTCGGCTTCGTATCAAAGATAAATCAAATAAATATATAGTATAAATCAATACTACAAATAATATACAAGATTAAATATTCCCGTAATCATCTGCAAAAGAATACTATTATGAATATTCCAGTAACTGAGAAAATTCCATTACATCACTATTTACGACGATATAATTTTTATTGAATTAATAAATTTCACTAATTACTTAAATATTTCACAAGCTTTAATTGCTTCTTTTTGAATATATACTGGGCAAATTTTTGCTTCACACAGTTGACTTGAATCTGCCCATGATATTCCAAACTCAGATGTAGTTGCTGCAATGTTACCATCACGTTTAACTTTATCGTTTTTGGGGTTGTTATCAAAGAATCCACAAAGCCCATCAACTCTTCCAGTATAAAAAGCATTTAACTAAAATATTTATGTAATTAATATTAAGTTTGTTTCCATATTTATTTAACAAAAAACGTATTTTCATGAATTGGTTTAGTAAACGCAATTTTTTCAATGATACACATTTAAAATTAATTTTTTCATTAACCAATAATTATTAATTAATTCGTTTTTAATCAATTAATAAGGTAAATCGTAAAAAAATAATTAAAATAAGAGTTATAATTTGTCTTTATGTAGATTTTGGATAATTATATTATCAAAATAAATTTTATATGCTCAATAATAAGAGTTAATATTAAAATCTAAAATTTAAAACTGTGTTAATAAAATTTAAAAAAAAACATTGCATAAAAAATTTTTGTATCAAAATATGTCTTTTAATTTGATACTTGAGGGTTCAAAAATCATTATTTTTCATGTAAAGTGCATTTAAAATGCATACAGTAAAAGAAAACTGGATTCAAAAACTTTTATATAACTCAATAATTGTTTTTCATTATCCACCAGTTTGATTCCGATTTAATGTAAAACAATAAAAAATTCAGATTATGAAAAAAAAAATAATCACTTTAATTTTAACATTTCCATTGACTTGCCAAATTAAATTGAAACCCAAAGTGCTGGCAAATATAACATAGTTAGTTTGAACTTGTTTCACAGCAAATTGTTCTGTTTGGCTTCCAATCACTTGAAGCTGAAAAAAATACATTTAGATAAAAAAAAGAAATATTTTATATTTTTAGCGCTTAATTTAAAAATATATTTTACTTGATTAATAGTGTATTGATAACCGTCGTAAAATGTTGTCATATTTGGGAAAAATTCAATAATATGATTCATATGCTGAAGCCATAATGATTGTTGACAAGCCCCAACATATGGACACCGACGGATTTCTACCAAAAAAAAGTAAAAATAAAATTAACATAAAAATAAAAATAAAAATAAACGAATAAATTTTTAACGTACGTTTTATCATCCATTTTTTATATACTCGATCTCTGACAATAATGTGATCACAAACTTCATACTTATAAGTTATTCCATCGAATGTTCTAAATATTCTGCCATCAATTTCACATTCTTTTTCCTCTAAATAACTGGATACACATGTGTAAACAGGGCAAATTTCATTTTTATTTGGTGTCATTTGTAAAAAATAACCTTCAGGACATGATAATGGTGGTGTTTTACATTCTACTTGCTTTACTTGTTCTTCACATATCCACTGTTTACAAATAGGCTGCTGATTCTCGCTTTTAATTCCACCATAATTGTAACTAGTATAAGAAGTACTTCCTTTTCGAATAACATTTCCTTTGGTGCTAAATACTGGATCACGATGACTTTTTTTCAATGAAGCAGCCAAATTAGTTACAGGGCTAAATGGAGAAGGCCATGGGTCTTCTGAAATTACCTCAGCACTTCTTACTTTACGATTAGATTTTAATGATTTAAATTTAATAGTGTTTAAAATTTTTGCAATTTTTCCTTCAGGACATTTAATTTCAGGACATTCGCTTACTTTTTTTACTTTATTTGGAATTACTGGTATATTAAATTGTATTACTTCTGTATATTCTGTAGTAGTCATTGGAGTGGTTGTGATTATTGATGGACAATTGACTTCATCATCAGGACAATCCTGTATTCCATTACACCAAAAAGATTCATTCAAACAAATATTTGAAGTTTGACATAATCTAGTTCCATTTTTGCAATATTCACATGTACAATCACAATTTGATATAGATGTTACAGATATTTTCCCCTATAACAAAATTAATTAACATAAAATATAATGCTATAATTTTTTGTTTTGTTTTTACATACGGGTGGACAAGGTGGACAAATTTTATGAGAACAGCTAGGAATACCACCTAGTGTACAAATACATTGCTGACAGTTTTCTAAATCATATACTGTGCCCACTTGATAAGTCATAACACCTATGACGCAAGGACATTCCGAACGTAAACTACAAGATTCTCCATTCCACCATTTTTCTGGAGAACAAATACAATCATAACTTATTATTCCAGGACATATGTTACAATTTCCCTTCATTATTGTAGGCTTTTCTGTTAATTCGTTTAAAAAAATGTGTGCTGTCATATATTTTTCAAAGCAACCAAGTATTTCAAGTCTTAAGGCAGGTTTATTTTGCCATTTTTCTGGGTATATTCTAATATATCTTGCTCGTATAGGAGTATCAAAGTACGTTTTATGTGCATTATCACTGTCAAAATTTCCAGTAAATATCTATAAAAAAAACAATGCTTCATTATTAAAATAACTATCTATAAAAATAAATTCCAAAAATATTGATAGTATTTTACTTTTTCATCTGCTCTTGAATCCAATATTTTATTCCAATTAATTAAATCATTACTGTAAACAATTTTGAAAGCTTCAATCCAAGCATTTCCAATGCTGTTAGTTGGAGGGTTGCCTTTTGATTCAATTCCAGTTATTATACGTGGTCCAGTAAAATCAATCTGGAACGTATAAATTTTTATAAACAAACAATCACATGATCCAAATTTTTTTAGTTACCTGAATCCATTGACTTGTAGAAGCGGTAAATGGAATCCATGATTTATTGCTGCTAAGTGACAAATCATGTGAATGGAAATCATTATTTAAAGAAGAAGATACCGTAATCATACCATCGTTTAACAAACCTGATTCAATTCCCATTGGTTCGGAGCACATAGCTAAGTTTAATTTATTATTATTTACTATTTTTTCAATTAAAAAAAAAATTTAGTATGTTAATTTTTTTACACACAAGTTAAAGTTTGTCTAACAGTTGTATAAGTTGTGAACTCTAAAGTAGTCGATTTTATTGGACAGCCCAACAGAGAGATTTTTATCGCAATTTCATTATGCCAGCTTTTTGGTATTATTCTGATATACCTTGCTTCAATTGGTAAAAAAAATATTTGTTTCTCTTTCACTTTATGATCATATGGTCCCCTAAATATCTAAAAGAATAAAGAAGTTAACAATGAAGTTACTAATATTAGTTCTATTATAGTTAACTTTTATACATATTATATTTTAAGTTTAGTTAAGTTTTATTTATTTATAATATTTTATTATTAATAAATATTAGCCACAATTGTAAAGAATAAAAATAAACCTTAGCAATCAAATTTATCAAAAATCCTATTTTTGTGACATGAACTTTAGATATAGCTATCACACACACACACATATATATATAGTGTGTATTCAATAAGTGAGGATTCGTGTTTCTAACCTTCGGCCGGATATTCTGGTAGTACTTTAGCAACCGGGTCATCTCCTACGAGAGCACCGTGAGCCCAAAAATCAGACCCTAACAGGTGGTGTTCCGCAAAGGTCAGTTCTCGGGCCTCTGCTGTGGAATATCGCGTACGACTCGGAACCACCACACGTGCGTGACACAATGGTAGTGGCGGAAGGCGTTTCATCCGAGGTGGCTGGATCTCATGCAAACTACACTGTCACGGCCTTGATCCAACAGGAGGGAAGTGGAACAGGTCCCTCAAAGAACCCGATCGGTTGGACCGGACTTACGATAAAATGACATTCCATCTCACTCAAATGATGTCCGACACGGCTACTTTAACGAGTACCTGCACTGTACTCGCAAAACAGCCGTGCCAACTATTCGAATCGCCCGAGAGAAGCAGATAGCGCTCTGCATATCTTCTTTCGGTACGAGGCGTGGCCTCGACTTGAGCGGGACTTCTTGAAGTCTCAACTAGGATCAACGTTCTTAGTCGGGTCCATGATGGATCTGATGTTAAGGAGCCGGGAGGCGTGGAAGCTTGTCCAGGCGTTCGCTGAATTCATCTTGAAAAAGAAGGAGGAAGTGGAACGCCTGAGACAGAAGCAGCCACGTCGCCTGGTACAGGAGGACCTGAGGCGCTGGTTTAGGCCAATGCCTTAGGATTATGTGTTTTTATGTGTCTTTGTTATTGTAAGTAATTCTTGTCAACCCACGCAAAGTCCTGCCCTCGCCTCTACGTGGAGTGACCCGGGCAACAAATCCCACTCTTGGATTCGTCTATCGGGGAGATCAAACCATGCTCTTAATTATTTTCCTGTTGATACACAATGTGGTGATGTGAGCTTATTGAAACGTTGTCCTGAAGCAATGCCTCACAGTAGTTTCAGGATGGCCAACATTTAGTCGACCATTAAAAAAAAAAGAAACTGTTTTCTATTGTTTTCATTGTTTGTAAACAATTTAGCTGTTTCCTTATGTACTGAACACTGTATATTTAGTTATCAATTAGTGATTAGTTGGAGACCACAGTTTAACTGGTGTATACTAATGAAAGAGTAAAGTACAATGTTTTCTTACTGCATAGTGCACTGAGAACATGATGTTTTTTGCCGCTTTAAAAAATACTATATGATCACTCATCATCAAGTCTATGGAGAGGAGCGCAGTTTAATATTAGAGTTTATCAGCAAATACATACCACATATATATATATATATAGTAATTTTCATTGTTATTCCTACGCAGGACGATGAGTGCGATCGGTAAATTACTAGTAATAAAAATAGCAGTACCCACTCCTCACCTCCAGTTATAATTTTAAATTGATCATAACTCCGAAGCACTGATTCAAAATTTGTTATGGACCAATCATTTTCTTAGTTAAATTATTTTTAGCTTCGATGCGAAGCGGAGAAGGTATTAATTTTACTATGATGTGTTTTTTTTTTTTTTATGTCTGTTGCCACTTTTTCTCAGCTCGCACTGGACCGATTTCTATCAAAAATACGTCAAAAGATCACAAATCGTATCTAGTTGGAGACATTACCCTAAAAAATTGAAAAAAATTCCCTCGTTCCACGCAAATGGAGGAAATATGCAAAAAAATTACAAATTTAACAATCGCTAATTTTCGAAATATTTTTACTTTTATTTCTTAAAACTTCCATAACTTTTTGAAAAATCAACATAATTTTTTTTTATACTAAAACCTTAGATATTTCCCTTTCATTTAATATCATTTTTTTGAAAATCTAACACTAACCTGCTCATTGGATGGAATTTAAAATAGCAACTTTTTTACAAAAACTAACTTTTTCAACTTAATTTTTGAAAATGTTCCGGAAATACTGCGTCCTTTAAACATATATCAAATTAAAGCTTATTTTATGTACTATAAAATGAAAAAAAAAAATTTGTCCCGACACCTTATCTTCTATGTGCAAATGGCTGTCGAAATTATAAAAAAAATGTAATATTTGCGATAAAAATCACCTTTTATAACGATGTTTTTTGTACTTAAAACTGCCATAACTTTTTCAAATATTAACTAATCAAAATAATATTTCTTTATATTGAAACCTTAGGTAATTTTCTTTCATTTGATATCATTTTTTTTTGAAAATCTAACACTTATTCTGCTAATCGGGGGGGATTTAAAATAGCAACTTTTTTACAAAAACTAACTTTTTCAACTTAATTTTTGAAAATGTTCCGGAAATACTGCGTCCTTTAAACATATATCAAATTAAAGCTTATTTTATGTACTATAAAATGAAAAAAAAAATTTGTCCCGATACTTTATCTTCTACTTTTAAACTACTGCCGTAGTTAAAAAAACACTATTTTTTGTTAAAATTTTCGATTTTAAATTTTCAACTTAAAAATGCTATAACTTTTCGAAAAATGTATGTATCAGCACAATTTTTTTTTTCTAAATACATTATAAGTACATCTTTCATTTGACATACTTTTTATTAAAATTAGACAATTTCCCCTTATATAGGGGTCGTTCAAAATTTGAAACATTCTATAAAACATAGAACTTTTTCAACTGAACTTTTGAAAATGTTCCGGAAATACTGCGTCCTTTAAACATATATCAAATTAAAGCTTTTTTTATGTACTAT